TAATTGTTTTTTATTTTCTTAAAACATTTTTTCTTTCAAAGATAAAAATATATTTAAAATGAAATAATGATGTATTTATGGTATATATATATTAGAAATGTTTTTAGTAATACTGACATTTTCTTTTATTTACTAATAAGTATAAAACTACAAAAATCATTTCTATCATCAGTGTAAAGTAAGTAGATTTAAAACAATTATTGACAAATTTCATTTTGTTAATCTATTTTAGTTGAGAGTTTTACAAGAGAAACTTGGTTTAAGAAAAAAAAAAGTAAAATCTTATTGTAGGTTTTATTCTAGTTTTGAGTGTTTTATATTAGTTTCTAGGTGTTTTTATTGCAACAAAATTTCAATGCAAGAATCATCAATTCCAGAAGATCAGCCTGAAAAGTAATACTATTTAGCTGAATTAATATTTCAATTTAAAAACATTTTTTTTGAAGAGAAAATATCATATCAACAAAATGTCGATTTCTTCTTTGGAGTTGTGTTTTGACTCCAATATCTATTATTATTGGTACTGTTGTAGTAATTATATTGATTCGTTATCAATCATCATTTTCATCTATCAATATAAAATATGACACTGGTAATAATAGTTTTCTTTAAATATTAAAATTAGATGTCGAGTACTTTCACTTTATTGGATAACATCAAGTAGATAATTGTATTGCACTTAGTAAAATATTGATTTATTTGAGATTGCTAATTTAACTTTCAGTTTAGATCAATAAATAGAATTTTTCTAAAAACGTTTTTATTGAATAAAAATAAAGTTTTATAATCAAATGAAGATCTTTGTACCAATAAAAAGAGAAAAAAAATCAAATAATTTAAAAATTGTTTGCAGGAACGACAAATGTTTTGGAAAAAACGACAAGAGGAACTCGAATGAGGATAACTTCTACCAAAGGTAAAAATACAATAGTCTCGCACATATTTATATAAATATATTCATTTAGTAACAACATCAATTCTAAGAAATATTTTAACCACAAATTCTCCATGTAAATTAACAATTATTTTTTCATTTTTTTCAAAAATCAAAATGATCTTTTCTAGACATTCCATGTAATCCATTAAGATTTGCAAATTATGCAAGTTATTCAACTGGAAATTATCCTTGGTCATTAAGCACTGGTTATTTAGATGCAGATTCTTTTCTTGATATTGTTGTTGTTAATAGAAATGATGCAACTATTAGGATATTCTATGGTCCCAGAAATGGAAGATTTCAAACACAAAAAACATATCCGACGACTTTGGGTGGTACTTATGTTGCTATTAGAGATATGAATAACGATAATAAACCAGATATTATTTTAGCTTATTCTTTATCAAATCGAATTGCCATTTTAATCAATAATGGCAACCGAAATTTTAATTCACCAATAACTTATCCAGTTGGATTTTATCCATATTGGATTGTTATTTCAGATTTTAATAAAAACAATTTATTAGATATTGTTGTTGTCAATGATCATGAGTCTTCTGTTACTATTTTATATGATTATTATAATTTATCGTTCAATTATTCTGCAACATATATAGTTGGAAATGATGTTGTAGGTGTATCTGTTGCTGATTTTAATAATGATTCGTATCCTGATTTTGTTACTACTGATTTTAGTGATAATACAATTAGTATTTATATGAATTCTAAAAATGGAATGTTTAAAAATAGAAAAACATATTTCACAGGTATTAAACCATGGGGTATAGCTACTGCTGATTTAAATAATGATAATTTTATAGATATTGTTAATACTAATGACGATACGGGCACATTAAGTGTTTTATTTAATGATGGATATGGAAATTTCAATAGACGAGATACATATTATATTGGTGGAGATGTAAGATCAGTTGCATTAGCTGATTTAAATAATGATACATTCATTGATATTATTGCTGCAAATTATGATGATGCATATATTTATATTTTTTTGAATAAGCAAAATGGAATATTTCAAACATATCAAAGATTAACTACTGAGGGGTATCCTTTAACTGTTACAACTGGAGATTTTAATGGAGATGGAAAAATAGATATTGCTGCTGTTACTTATGAAAATACTTTGAATGTTTTTTTAAATCAATGTTAAGAACATTTCATAGACTATATTATTATTGACAAATATTTATACTAAAAACTTTTATTTATTCAAATTCTTTTTCACCATTTCAGTTCTAAAGACACTATATGCTTTTTTTCTTTATTTCAAATAATAAATACATATTTAATTAAAAATTATCACTCTATCCTGTCACAATATAGATAAGAGAGTGAGTGCTCAATGCAATATTCATCCTAGTCTTTTCTTGAATATTTTACGAAACATTTTATGCATTAGTATCTATACAAATTGAATAAAATTGTTTAATACAGAAAAATAGATAAACTAATGGAAAATACAAAAAACAATTTTTTTTATGAGTTAACTATGTTATTCTCCGTTCTTTTCTGATGAATCATTCAGAGAAACGTAATGAAAGGTTACATGAAGAATAAGAAAAAAAATGACTTGTTCATTTCTGATGTAAAGTTACACGTTTCTTTAGACATATAAAAGAGAACACATTGAATTTCATTTAATAAATTTTAGATTAAAAATTCTTCCACACTCTGATACTTTCTTTCGGATAAATACTGAAAGCTATCGAAACAAAAGACGATTATAAAACTTTTTCTATAAGTCGATCAGAGTCTGATATTATCAAATCGTACACATAATCTTAAGCATCATTTTTATTATTTATATATATACAAAAATAAAACCTAATAGTTTTTTTAAATTATTTGTTTGCCTTTTCCTAATGATCTATATCGTATGTTTTCAATGGCACATCACAATTTAATACATAAATTATTCTTTAGTTGTATTTTTTTCAATACGTACTTCTTTTTACTATTTCTCATGAGTTGCCTAATTCGAGTTCGAATATAAATGGAGATTCAATTGCATACTATCAATTCGAAAATAATTGTTGCAAGTTAGGAATATATTTAGTTTTACTTTAAGATGACTATAATTCGTATGTACTGCTGAGAAGAGGGTGAGATGAGAGCATATGTCTCTCTCTATAAGAGGGGAAAAGGTAAAGTAAGAGAGAGGGTATGGGTGTAGTCATTACTAGCACTCATCTCATTCACACCCGGCAGCTACTCATTTATACACTATTTCAATAAATTTCGATTTCGTCTAACTTAGTAAAAAATATAATATTATTAAAACAAAACTAAAATAACCAATAGAATTGATTTTGAATTGATTCTCGTTTCATTATTTTTCTTTCACATAGACATACACGTATGGAATTGTTTACATATTTTGGTGATTAAAGATGAATGATATTAAATAAATTTAAGATGCATAATAGATATACTAGTCAATTAGAGAAAGAAAAAATAGATTATCTGTTCATTAATATCGCACATGTTTCTAGTATTTCGTATGACTAAGAAAAAAGAAACATAGAATTGTTTTATTTTACTTTGTATCGATGATAGATAAATGGAAATTCAAGCCACAAGTGGAGCTGATAAAAATATACGATTTTGATCAGCTGATGATCGTTTGAAAAAATTGCAGTAATTCATTCTGGTCTGCCGATGATTGATGTGTCTAAAATAATATTAGATATTTTATATTTAACATTGAAAAATGTTAAAAGTAGTAATTTGTGTTTTTAAACAATGATGATACTCGATAACTTCGACATGCAAATTTAAAATTAATTGATGAAAAAGGTACACTTTCAGCCAGTAATCGCACATGTACGATCGATGATATTGTTAATGGTTTTTGATCAATGCCACTACTAACTGATGTTATTACAATTGCTGAAACAGTTCCTGATCTATCATATGTATATAGTACTTTCTATGATAATTTATGTTCATTCATGAACCTATTGATTATAAATTGGATAAATAAAAACGAACAAAGAATTTTAGTTGTTTTACCATCTACTAGTTGGTAATGATTGGATTATCTGTGTGACCATCTGTTATTATTGTATAAAACGTAATCATACCATTAACTAATTGAATTAATTCTGGTAAAGCTGAACTATAAAAATGATAGATGATATTAACTGATATTGCATCAGATGGAAGTGTCCATTGAGACGAGACTCCTATAGAAATATTTAACATACCTGAATGTTTATTATTTCGTTAATTTCATTGACTAAAAATTTCATGCGTCATATTTAAGTGGTTCAATATTAAAGAGTATTTTGAATTTACTGTATTAAGAATTGAGGATCAGCAATAAGATTTTCTATTTTACCTAAAGCGTTTAAACGAAATTGTAATATATTTAAATGAGGCGATGAATCAACAAGTAAATCTAAAATAATAATGAAAATGAAAATGAAACAAATATATCACCAAGAATACGAAATCCATTTTAAAGAAAAACAAATAGAAAATTCAAAAGAAGAAAACTTCATTTTGTTTACTTCGTTGAATCATCACCTGACATCATTATATGAATTGTTTCTTGAAAGGCAATTGCTATTGAAATTCGACCAGTAGCATTAATTGTTAATAGAAATATTCGTTGATCGATTGATGTCAGTGAACTACTGAAAGAACTTGTTTTTAGTTGTTGTTACTATAAAAACATTGATCATAGAATTTCATGAAAAGGGCATGCGATTTATAGCTTTGTTCAGAAACTAAATATTAGAAATAGAATTGGGCAGTTTTTTTCTGACAGAGAGGATAATAAAAATTGAGTTTAAAATGATTTTTATTAGAAATAAGAATGTGTGTGAGTAAAAGAGAAGATAGAAACACCCACACCCTTTCTGCTTTATTTATCGACGCGAAAGATTTAATAAAAAACGAGTTTTTATGTTACAATTTATTATGATAATAAATCATTAATATATAAGATACTGTCTAATGCAAAATCTCAACTGATGATAGTTATAGATTTTACATGTCTTTATCATAAGAATGCTAAAGATGCTAACTCGTCAGTTACACTTTCCATTTATAGAAGATATTACCTGTTACGAAACTGAGTCTTGCAACATCGTCGAATAGAAATAGTTCTGCTCTTAACAAACTTTATAGATCGTTACCACTTAAATAATTTTATTTTTATACAGTGCTAGACATCTTTTAATCTATTTTTCGTTAAACAGCTCAGCACGACAAAAGTGTCTTGTCATTTTTATAAGTGCTTTGTTAGATCAACTTTGTTAAAGCAAAATTATACGATATCATTGAAATAGAATAGTTTCTTCTTCAGTTTAAATTCTTCCCGAAAAGTAAATTTACCTAAATACTGATACATCATGAATAAGCAATAATCACCGTGCGACTATTAAACAAATTCAAATAAAAAATTGTATTGATGCAAGGTTTATACTTGTTACCAAAAGTTTTACGTCAATTCTCTTTTGTTTCCTCGTATTGCAAGTTACCAAGGCAAAACATACGTCACATGATAAAGGTTTTTCTTCGATCATGTGCAGTTTTCTTCCTATCAACGTTCTTTCCTTCGTTGTTATACTAATAGAAATACGATGATGTTTTAGATATCATGATTTTAGAAAATAGGTTCTTTTAAGAATATCAAGACATAGAAAACTACCTAATCTGACAGTGTGTTGATACGAAAAATAAGGTAGAAGGCACTATTCATACTCTTCTACAAAATCGAATTTATTATCTACTCTGTAAAACGTCATACCTGTCAAGCAAATCAAACAAGAAAAACGTCTATCATATTGATTTATTTATTATTTTGCATTCTTTATTATTACACTTGGAAATACTTACAAGAAATATTGTAGGCATGCAATGCACCATCACCTATTTATAAAATGCCACGTGTGTTACATAAGATGGAAGAAAAAAAAGTTAAGAAAAAGAAAAAGAAAAGGAAGTAGGAAACTGTAATATTCACATTTATAAAAAAAACTTAAGTCATTATAGAAGCAATGAGTGATTATTGTTCTCACATCTGTGTGACACGTTTCATTTGGAAGAAATATTTCATGTGATCATTTTTACTTTTGTTATATGAAGCAAGCCTGCTGCTTGACCAAAAGAACACCGATGAACCAATCTTAATTCGTTTCGAAATTATCTTAGAAGTACTTCTTTTTAAGTTTTCGATAGAAACAGATAACAGGAAAATATTCAGGGAAAAGATAGAAAACTGTAAGCGAACAAATAGCTTCTTAGACCTTCTGTTAATAGATTTTTACTGCTGTTCATTCAAAGTAATTTGTTAATAATGCTGTTTGAATTTTCTTGAAAGTTTTAATCAATTTGGAAAAATGCTTTCTAAAAATTTTATGTCTGTAGAGAGAATCTGCTTGATCAACAACATGATAAACTTAAATACATTTATTTATCAAAATTTTCTTTTTTTTTTTACAATAAAAATATAATGGAAGGATAATTTAGCCGAATAAGAAAAGTAAGATCATGATTAAACTAAAAACTATTTTGAATCATAAAATGCGAATAAAAGTAACACACATATATTACTTTTTAAAGAATAATTGATATTATCAAACGATCCATTTTTTACAGTCCCAAAAAGTATCAATATTGCGAATATATATAATAAATTATTTTTCAATTAATATCAGCAATATTCTAGTCTCGGTAGTTAGTGGATGGTTTGAGAATGAGTTTGGGAATCTGATTAAATTCATTACTTTTTTTATGAAAACATTAAGTATTATGGATGAAAACTATCTGATCCCATTTGAACTACACGAATGACAAAGTCCATCTGAACTAAGTAGTTTTCGTCTCTCACTCTCATTCTTTATTTTAAATATCTTTTTTTTTATCAAGTAGAAACAAAGGATAGTTAAGAATAAATTATCTTTATGAATAATAAAATATGTGTGTTTATAGTATCGTATAAATGATTACTTAACTTCTCATATTCCCCTTTGTTCATATTATTTTGGAGAATAGTAACTTATCGTTGTCGACATATTTACTTTTTTCTTTTGTCGATAAATGCATACAAGATCGAAGAAGATATGTTAATTCACTAGAAAAGTTATTTTGTTAAGTTAGAATCATTAGATATAAAAATATTTGGTAATATAGAATTAATATGTAAATATAAGTTCCATTAAAGATTGAGAACTGTTTATACTTCACTATTATCTCAATTTTTCAATACAGACACGTTGAATACAAGTTGTTAAAGGAATTACTGCATTTTTAACACATACTTAATCATAACAGCAGAGAGAAAAGTACGCGCCATACGTTTGTCATTTTGGTCTGAATATACTGCAAAATCTCTTTAAATTTTACAATCATCGAAATTATAATTTTCTGTTTTGTTAGTTTCTATCTTGAAACCTAACAAAATGAGAAAAATTTTTATTTAGATGTATATAGTAATAGAATTGATCTATCTATTATAATGTCTTCATCATGAATGTAGTGTCGATCATGGTAAAATTATTATTAGCAAATATTTATGGGCAACCTGCGTGTCTGTTCGAAGAATAATTATTCAATTGATCGTAATTATTATCGATATCATCCGGTGTTTTGGTTTACTCTCAGTTGATCATTACTTCATTTATCGACTAAATACTTGAATGAAACATAAATGTTTTAGTAATTACTTTGAGATAGTTTGAGATGAACTCTATAACACTAGTTTTATCGAAAAAATAACTATTTTTAATCAAAAGTGCTTTTACTTATGTGAATAGTTGTTAACTAAAAACTTATAACCAAAGTGCTTATTTTCCTTTTTATAATGTTCTTTTCTGAATATTCATTTAGAACATTAATATATCAAGGATGAGTGTGGGTGTAGATGCGGGTGCTAGTTAAAAAAATATGGGCCCACACTTACCCTCATACCTCACATCTAATCAAATCAGAGATGTTGGGGCACAACATTTGATTGATGGATTACGACAGAACACGGCAATTCTCATTTTTCTCGTTCAGGTGTAATATATCTTTACTTGCACTATTTCGTGTAGACAGTTAGCACACTGAACCTTCGAAGAATGAAATCAGAGATCGCGCACTACGTCATATCAATGAATTTGTTGAAGGTAATGAAAAAGAAGAAAACTGTAAATGTCAATATTAAATATATTCCAATGACAAACACATACCCATTTTGAAGATGGGTGAGTGTGGGTGTCTCGTAAATATAATACCTACCTACCCTCAAGATGGTTTATATTGATGGACGAAAATGATGAGTGATAACGAATCAATATAATTACTACAATAGTACCAATAATGATTAATATCGGAGTCAAAACACAACTCCAAAGAAGAAATCGACATTTTGTTGATATAATATTTTTCTACAAAAATGTTTTTCAATTGAAATATTACTTCAACTAAACAGTACTACTCTTGTAAAACTTTCAGCTAAAATAGATTAGCAACATGAAATTTGTCAATGGCTGTTTTAAATCTACTTACTTTAATACTGATGATAGAAATGATTTTTATAGTTTTATACTTATTAGTAAATAAAAGAAAATGTCAGTAAATCCCCCCCTCTGTAATAAAAGGCCTCCTGGTCTACTATTATATTTTGCGGTACAAACTTTTGAACGGGTCTTCTAATACGAATTTGTGAGCGTAAACTGCCAAAAATCAATATCATATTTTGTGAACTTTCAGGCAGTATCGTTCATCATGATTATACTATTTAATAAATATGAAACAAAAATCAGAGTGGGAGTTAAAATGAAATTTTGAAAAGTTAAAATGATTATAACCGTAGTTATAACTTTCAACCTTGATTAATATAAGTTATTATCTCAATTCTGTCAACTAGATAGAATTTCTCTCTTTATTCTTAGTGAGTAAGTGAACCGAAGCCACACTTTGACATGTAGTTCTTAATTAAAAACTGAACTTTATTTCAGAAGATAATAAGAATATTTTAGAAGATAATGATAAAATGGTATGAACTATACTGGAAAATACGGCTGCGATTCACTTACTCACTAAGATTAAAGGCGTATAAATTCTATGCAGTCGATAGATTCGAAATAATAACTTCTATTAACCACGGTTAAAAGTTATAACCAAAATAACTTTTGGACCGAAAAATTGATCATTAATAACTCAACCCTTTTTAACTCCCATTCTAAAAAAATACAAAAAGATAAACAATA